CCATAAACCATAATGATTGGAGTTATGTTCACCAACTTAGCTATTGAACGGGGGCCTCACATTGTAAGTCATTTCTTTTTGGTTTTGTGGAAAATTGCAAAGGTCACCCGGACACGATGGGACTCTTCACTGTCCTCGCTGCACATCGATTTGCAGGACGGGCTGGATGAGTTCATGTTTCGAATCTCGCTAGGATTTCACCACAAACCAGAGATTTTTCTTTGGGATCGCAATAAAAAAAAGGGATTTCACCCGCAACAATCTGGGCATGTCATATTTTTTGAGATGTTGTCCTGAAAACTGCGGAATTGATGATTTACTGCCACTTTATGTGATTTTAAATATTTTAAGGGAGAACAATATGATAAAGCTGCGGATATTTGGTTATACTACCAGTTGGATGATTTTTCCCTAGGGACTCTGGGGTGTCATTAAGCTACTTGCCACTACTTGAGACTATGAAAGTCTATGAATTCCCGGATGCTCTTAAATTGGTGTAAACGACATTTCTCAAGGTGAAGTTTTTTGTGAAACCGTTTCTCAATTTTCCACAAAAACTATACCATCACATATTAGATACATAAGATAGCATTTATTTTGGTCAATTCATGCTATCTTAACCCCTCCTGGATGACCATTTCTGCTTATGAGGGCCGTCCAGGACACCCAGGATCACTGGATTATCATCCTGGAATCCTGGCCCTGAGCAGTGCAAGACATCCCGGTTGGTTGATGAAAAGTTAGAAATGACCTGCAGATACCTGGTGTCACTAGAAATACCTGCCGGGGAGATATTCCATGAATTTTCATAATCCGATGTATTCCATGAACATTATCATGATATACCCTTTGGTAAACGTTTACAGTTTGCGAACTTGAAAATTGCCCAGTCGAAATAGTGGATTTACTCATTAAAAACGGTGGATCTTTCCATAGTTACGTTAGTTTACCAGAGGGTATTGGGGATTATCATGGATTACGGTAATCCATGCGCTGGGAATCCGGTTCTTAATCAGGCAGTATAAAGATGTATAAAGGAACGACATTTCGGGTCAAGCAGCAACTGTGCCCAACAATTGCTCAGAATTAGTGCAGGGCTGTTGTAGTTATATATATATATATTATATATAACATATATACATACATACATACATACATATATATATATATACATAAGGGGCTACTGTATAGCCAGCAAGGTCCAAAAAGAATCAAAAATATATAAAAAGTAAAAATCCTACTATGAACATTTATGTGCGGTTCTTTTGTGGGGGGTTTTGATATACTTTTTGTTTCGGTGCGGATGTGAAATTCAGCAAACAAGACCGGATATAATCGAGTAATGATGGGAAACATACTGTATACTGGTTGGTGGTTTGGAACATTTTTTATTTTTCCAGATATTGGGAATCATATTCCCAACTGACTAATATTTTTCAGAGGGGTAGGTCAACCACCAACCAGACTATATAGTACAATCAACTGATCCAACCGAGAAATTAAACCTTGATAAAAATTTGAGGTTCTTCCAGCAAAGCCCCTTCAGGGTTCCAGACCGTCTCCATTTTGATGGCCACGAAATCATTTCTGGGTTAACTGCACCATGGCTACATCAGTTACATTGGGCCCATCGGGCCCATCGGGTCATTTTTCTATTTCAACGCTTGTCAAATTCCCAAAAATGTTGGCCCATCCTAAAAACGCATGTGAAAGATTGCAAGATCCCCATATAAAATAATATAAAATATATGTATATATTTCATTTGTTTAGTATCAATATCATATGTCTATCCATATGAGTTATATCCTTATCGTGGGCCGGGGGGCCTTTATAAGTTGGGATTGTGCAGGAGTTGTGCAACGCAGCCTCCAAACAGGTGCCTTTAGCCTTTCTTTGCTGGGATCCCTGTGGTGTTTCATGATTAGATTAAACTTGATCCACGGATCCAAGAATATAACATGTATTATGAAACAAGATGAAAGATATCTTTTTTATTATCAAACATTAATAGATAATAATCTGGAATCATATCTTTGGGGAATAATTGCTCAAAATGAAAGGAGATAAAGATTTGAATCCATGTTCTATGGGGTTGAACATGGACCAAGATGATGTCAATGGGAGGGGGTTATCGGTACCCGTTCATGATGGCAGAACGAGTAGAACCCATATACGATTCGTTTTGAACACGGTAGCCATGCGGAAAAAACGCCAATTGGCTTAATAGCAGTTTGTTTATTGGATGGGTCACGACCTGTGAGAACAGTTTTTTTTTTTTTTGCGGATACAATTTGGTACACTCATCAAGCAATCTAGAATCTGCATGCTTATCATTTATAATTAACTATAAATGGGGATGTGGCACCGTGGTCATATTTCATGATTTTAATTACAGAAGGGTATACCGTATACCAAATTCCATGGAATCCAGATTGGCTGCTGGTCCCTTGGCTGCAGTTCCAGTTGTAGCTTTGGATATATAAAAACAAGGTGTAGCTATGAGGTTATATATATATATGTTAATATGGAACAGGTTCACATGGATATATATATATATATATATGTATATTATATATTCCAACTTATTGAGGCAATCGCCGTTTTTCTCTACCTATTCATAATCCCACATGCTCCCGCAAGTATGAATCTGAGCCATTTTCCCCTTTTGGACAGTCACAACGCTACCATTACCACTCTGTCCAATTCAATGGCTGAGTTGAAGAGAAGAATTAGAAAAGACGACGTGTTTGGAACCAGTCAGTGTTTGGAACGGCCACGAGTTTTTGCTATCAATCTTACAGTTTTGCAATCAATGGATACTATGTCATACCCAGCAAGAAACACAACTTTTAGCACTGAATCCAAAGTTCCCCACCAAAATCTTGTCAGAATCTTGGGTACAGTCCCCATGTGAAATGTTGTTCCATGTTACTCTCTGGTAATTTAACATATCTATTAAGAATTGCAATTTATCGTTGATTTACCCATTGAAAATTGTGATTTTCCATAGTTATGTTAGTTTACCAGAGGGTATCCTTTTTGGATATCCAGCTATCACAGGCCCAATTGATCTCCGGCTATACCCCATGATTGCTTGATAATCCCATCTCATGAGTTTGATATATCCATTAGAAATCCAGTCATTAACCTAGTTATCAACAAACTTATTCAAAATCACACATGTGTGTTGCTCAAATCCCAATTTTCTCTTGTTGATGGGTAGATCCCAATTTTCACGGTGAAACCCACTGGTTTTTTCATGGTGAAATCCACTGGTTGTTCTTCGTTGTTTTCCATGGATAAATAACGCCCCCCGGTAAAAGCCTTGGGTTTAAACGTGGCACATAAACCACGTATTCCACGTATTCCACGGCCAGGTCTTCAAGATTATTGATTGCATCCATGGCAGCCATGGCAAAGGCGAATTCCTACTCGAAGAGCCACTTGGGCGATGTTTTTTGTTCGCCGCCGGTTGGTAAGTTGGACTTGAAGGCGAAGGATGAATCATGGTTTAAAATGATTTCATCATCCAAAAGTCTGGGGGTACATATATATATATATGTATAGTTGAGAAATGGTTTCTTGATTGTTTTTGACTTCCGCGATTGAGGATTATGACAATTCATGGTAGGTTTTTAGCCATCAACCAATGAGATGGTGCCCCGGTTGAGATTTGGGATTTCACCAACAACATATGGCATAGTTTATGGTTAAGTTGGTTTTTAGTTATGATAATAACTATGGTAAACGTTTACATAGCTATTGAAATGGTGATTTAGTTCGTGGATTTAGCCAGCTAGAAAATGGTGGATCTTTCCATAGTTATGCAAACGTTTACCAGAGGGTAATAACTATGGTGAATATGTATGGAGAATATGTTTCTGAATGACTAATGACTAGGGTTTTAGTTTTGTATGTATAATAACTATTTTATAGTTAATGACTAGGGTTTATGGTGAATGTCTATGTAATATTGTAATGAAGTGAGTTTATAAACAACCAAACACAACTGTCCACCTTGTACGAAGTTTGCGCACTGTGAACATCAACAATGTTTGATGTGTTTCTTGCAATCAATCAGCCAAGGGGTTGTCATAAGCATGTGAGATCGAAAGTGGATCCTGGATACACATCTTACCATCATTGCCTAATTTTGGACGGTCCTCCTTCCTTCCACCCAGCCCCAGAATGCATTAAACACAATAAGCACATGAGAAAACCACATGTCTGACGGAACATTGAAGGTTTGTATAGTCATGCATTATTTCGTGTTACCAGTGTACAATATGGTTTGGGACTGCAAGTAGCTACGCCGATTTCTGTTCACATCTTTTATTCACAAGATTCCGAAGAGGAAGCCACTGGAAGCATAGGAAACTGTCAAAAAGAAGGGAACAGGTATTTTTTAGCATAGGAACTGGTTATTACCCAAACTTAGGGACACTAATTACCAAACTTAGGGTCAATAATTACCCAAACTTGGACAAAATACCTCTAAAGAAAACGTGCTAGAGCGCCATGCTAGGGTATATTATGCCTATTATGACTAACATTAATTCCAAATTTGGCTCGATGTGGATGGAAACGGAGGAAAACATATAGGGGCTGCAATCACACGCAAAGCCACAGCGCATCACACCTCATTCACCAATATTCCCTTTCCCAGATTATATAAATCCAGAAACTATTGAGACTATTATGGTTAATCAAAAACCATAAACGGACTGTTTGAGAACAGCGCCCACATTGAGTCAGTGGGATGTTTGATGATTTTGGCCTTGCGACGGGATGAATGAATGATTATATCCCAACTCACTATTGGCTATATCAGTTCTATCCTCATTTTTTGGTCGGTAAAGAGTTGATGGATTCAATTTTCATGGCTTGTCATATCATTAGTATATGTTGTTCCTGTTGCATAAGTCCCTCATGTGTGTTAGTGCATGTTAGCTCCCATTTTTTGAGGGCGAAATCAGCATGCATTGATGATGAAGTCCGCATGGAGTCAAATCAGTCACAGCCGGCACCCGAGGTGGAACTTGTTCTTCAAGCAGCAGCTAGAGGCTTTTCGTTTTATCCCCCATACCAGGAGTGGAGCTAAGGCTTTTGATTTGTTTTTTCTCGTTAGAATTTGATGAATGAATGTGATGATGATTTGATTTGTTGATTTGTCTAGATGATGATGATGATACCCTCAAATTGATGGCGTACCATAATTTTCCCCATTCAAACAAGCCATTTGGAGTATACCCGGTCTTCGAACAAACCCTTTTTTATGAGCATGATCTATTTTTGCATGCATAGATTTTGTTAACCTTGGCAATAAATGTACATACGATGCACCATGATGCACCGATGGATTGATATCAGTTGGTTGTTTGATTGGATTGTTTCAACACTCCACCGGTAAAACTGTCAAAACGAACTGTTGACAAGGTGGTGCCCTATAATTAGCTAAGCTGGGGTTTAAGGTTACCTGGGATCTATGGCAGTTACATCTATAGTAAATGGGGTCGTAAACCACCGTGTAGTTGTTTTCAAATATTTGTATGTTTCTTCCTTTCCGGTTCCTTCCCAGAATGATGCACTACATAGAAAGCAGCAATTTGCGGCAGCCATAAAGCGCCCAGGTTTCTGTACGGAACTGGCTCCTGGTTTCATTTTTTGTCCTTGCCTTCTACGCTGGAACCATGCTTCGAATCAACTTTACATTTCGGGATAGACGCAGAATTCATGTTTGATGAAGAAATCACTGGATGGTTTTGCAGTTTCGCTGCAAAAAAAAATCAAATCCTTTAACATCACCAAATATCCAGGAACATGTGATCCATGACAAGTATTGATCATCTATTTTCGGATATTGCTGGATACGTTTTCACCCATTGATTGCTTTATTCGAGTGATACCAACCAACTGAAATTCTACCAGACATATATTCTGACATATTTTGGCATTCTATTTGGCATTCTTCCTGGTATTCTAGCTGACATATATGCTGACATTTTATCATACATATATTATATATTGAAATGTGTTTTCTAACATCATTGTATCTGGCATTATTTTTGAGATTCTATCTGACATATGTTCTGATATTCTATCTGGCATTCTATCTGACATCTCTTCTGACATTCTGTGTGACATCTTGCACTTGCAATTGAGGTCCCGCAGTGCCCACTGAGATCTGGCTCTCGCAGTTGAGGTCCGGCAGTGCCCACTGAGCTCTGGCGCTCACCGCTGAGGTCCGGCAGTGCCCACTAACATCTGGCTCTCGCAGTTGAGGTCCGGCAGTGCCCACTGAGATCTGGAGCTCGCGGTTGTGCCCACCGCGATCGGGAGCTCGCTGTTGAGGTCCAGCAGTGCTGAGCTCTGGAGCTCAGAGACCCCTCACCTGGCAGGTGGGGAAACAACAGGGTACCCCTAAATCCATTGGTGAACCACCCGCAGTCCTACTGAAATGATCCTTTGGGGGATGTCACCCATTTTCAGACAAAGCCATAATCAATATCGATATCAATCATATGGGTTTGTCTGAAACTTGGATATGCATCCCAATTATAGCCATTTAATAGGGAAAAATATGATTGAGCAGTGGATGGAATTGGGTATGTATATATGTTTAGACAGACCCATGTTAACATGATCACCTTACGTACTCCTGTCCTGCTTCGGTTCGATGCGACGGACGGTGTTAGTGTGTGTTGGTTGATGTCCACCCCGCTAAATAACCATGGATATATCAACCATAAATCCTAGTTAATCTCCTTAAAAACAACCTTATATAGCTATCTCAAATCAACCATGAATCCAACCTGTTTCTGGTTTTAATCCCTTTTTGCTTGTAAAATCAACATGTTCCATCATTCTCAGTCTTAAATCACCTTAAACCATATGAAATTACAATTTTTGGTCTCAGCAACCGGGGCCCGAATCCAAGCCGCGCTGTGCCCCTCAGGGCACCGAAGCAGAAGAGCTGCTTTGGGAAGACCGAGGAGATCAGTGTCCTGACGCGAGGTGTTGTTTTTCTTGGAAAATGTTGGAAAGTCGACATGCTTTAATTTTTTAAATGGTAATTCATCTACCAATGATGGTTTCAATAAGAAAATCATCTATAATTGTACGTGGTGGTGAATCACCTATATCTATAAAGGGTAAATCATCCAAAAATGCACCGCTTGTTGAATATGTTAATCAGCTATGATGTGGGCAACCTAATGCCACAAACAACAACCATGACTGGGGATGGTTTTGGTCCCACTGATGAAAATGTTGTTTGTAGGGATGGTTTATTATTGGGCTTACACATTAAAGGGTACATGGCTGCATTTCAAAATATCATTTGGCAATTCGACTTATATGGCCCAATTTTACTTTATATAATTTTATACCTGTTGGAAAAATGTGATTTTTGTAGCTATGTCAGTTTGCCAGAGGGTACATGACACCAAAACGTACAACATACACTGCATGAAGACCGCAACATAGCAATAAAAACATGGAAACAACGTGAACTTCTCTGGGTACACGATATCAACGACATTGATGTGCCACGTGAACTTGAACATTAAAAATTCTGAAATTGGTGGTTTTCTGCATATGGCCATCAATATGGGTTGCATTTGTTCAATTTAAGACGTGTAGGCTGTAGGTGGTGTTTGCGTGCATGAAATACATAATACTGTCAAACAATTAGGTAAAATGTCAATATTGCATACTAGAGTACAATGTCTATTATTGTTTTTTATCGATATGGTTTCTCCGTAAAATGTATGCTGACTTTCAGGTGATGCATCGGTTCTGGAGATGATCATTCAGCATTTCCAGTTGGAACATTGGAGCGTTGATGTGATTTCTGCGATGAGGTGAGTTATTCCCTAGGAATTCCTGGGACAGTTCGGATGGACTATTTGACTTTGGCAACTAAAAGACAAAATCGATAAAGAACAAGTAGGCGCGGTGGGATTAATGGACATGTTGATAAAAATCCCATCCTTTCTGAGGTTTTGCTTCTTTGTTTGAAATATTTGAAAGGGATACAGTAGGCATAAGAGTCATAGGGATTCAGCCTACTAGCAAAAGGTGACCCTGCCGTAATTATGATAGGCTAGATTTGTTTCTTCTTTATTGGTTAATCCACCTGTTTAGAGAATCCCCCGTGAACATTCTATTCAAAGAGTTTTGGATTCGCTGCTGGCAATCATATCCAAGAAACTAGAATACAATTTCATCGACATGTTTACTCTGTACGATTGTTACTGGTTAATTGTTTCGTTTAAATGACAAACCAATTGATAAGCCTGTAATTTTCTTTGTATACTCACGTGATATCCTCATGATAAGCGGTGAATATTGTTTTGTTTTTTCCCCCCTTCTTCATCGGTCAAAACTCTTTGGGTGATGGTGAAATTCACATTTTCCAATTGATTATGTGTGGTCTAATATCTTCTAGATATTTTTCAAATTCTAAAAGAATCCCATTTTTTGAAGATTATTTTGCATATGTCCAATTTTTTTGGGTGTTGCAATGACAAACTCTTATATAAGAGACCCCATTTCCGCATCGAGCTATTAACATCAGCTCCGACTCAGGCGACCTGAACGACGACCAAGTCGACGACACTTGGTTAAGATGTGCAGTGATGCCGGCTGCCTGTTGAATCATCTGGGTATACTTGGAGGATCATCCCACTTAGTAACTGGTTAATAACCGTGCTTATTGTAAGTCTCCCAAGTGGACCTATTCATAAATGAAAGTTGTAACCTCAGTTATACTACCTGCTGATGACATGGGCATTCTGGATAACATACCCCCTTCAGCCTTCAGGGGTGCTTGGGCTTGTCATCTGAGGTCAAACCCAGAAAAAAGGTAACACGGATACCTTCACACTTCAATCCTCAGTTCATTTATTACCTCAATTACCTATAATTACCTCATATTTGTTCTTCTTTTCCATTCCATTTCCTTGTCGCTTTCAGCGGTCAATCTCTCCTTTTGTATCCTATTGGGGGCACGAATTTGTGCCATGTCCTGAGGTTTGGGGGCACGAATGCACGTGTCGAGCGCTGTTTCCTTTCATGTTCCCCAGCATTTTCCTTTCGTTTCCATTCATGTCCTTTCATCGCCTTTGATTTCATGTCATTTCCTTTACCTACCTTTCATTTCCATGTATTTTTCCTTTCGATTTCTTTTCATTTTCTTATAATTTTCCGTTTCTTTGGCTGTTCTTTTCCACCTTATTTCCTCGTTATTTTCTTTCAGCGATTGATTTCCCTTTCCGTAAGGTTTTGGAGGCTCACAGAGCCATGTCATGAGGTCTGGGGATACACGCATAGATTTCACAGGATGTCATAATTTCCCATGGTAGAAAGCAATCAGGCCTTGGAAGCTTTTGAGTGTCAATCTAGAGGTTCCCCATCCTAGCTGCTACTCCCAGCTGCCCAAGTCGTGGCGAAGTCCCAAAAATCTTGAAATTAGCTTGGGGGAAGGCTTTTGTGGAAGTCGTGGCGATGCGGCGTTTAGCTTGTGTTTAGGGTAGGTTGCTGTTTTACTATCTCATGTAGACCTAAAGTGGCGAAGCGGCGTTTAGGTTATGTTTGGGGTAGGGCGTTGTTTTACTATTAGCATAGTGCTTTAATCTTGCTAGTTGCGTTCTCATTGTGTTTGGGATGGTTGCTGTTGGGTTCTGCAGCTACTGGCGTCTTGCTGTTGCTGCGGCTGCTGGTTCGACGGCTGCTGCTGTTGCTGTTTCCGGGTACTTCTACACAACGCTGGGATTATCATCTCTACACTGCCATGGCGGTGTGCTGGGATTCTGCAAATTGTCATTGTTTCGCTACCAGTGATCCAAGGAAGGGCAGGTTTGCGGCTTGCGGGCCAAAGTCCATGTGTGTAGATGCGGGGCTTTTTCCGTACCTCGTTTTGACCTCGTTTTGGACCTCGTTTTGGACCTCGTTTTTTTCCTTTATCAGAACCCATCCTGCAGTATACAAACTAGGAAAAGGGCCTGCTTCGCGTTTTTGTTTGTGGGCGTCAACAGTGCCCACGAAAAAAGGCCCGTTGGAAACCGGCGTTCCGATGGGATTCGATCAAAAACGAATAGAACATAATAGTTTGGTCAAGGCTTGTTAAAGCTAGCGTTTCCAATGGGGAAAGGGGTTTTGCAAGGTCTGTGCCGGGACAGGGGTCGTGGCGAGCGTTTTGATTGGGAATAGCTGTCAAATGCAAACATTGCAAGGACTTGGGCGTATGGGTGTACATCTGATAGTTTCACATTGGACGGATCAGTCTTGAAGATGATGGGCAAAATCTCTGGGGAGTTGTGGCTTGAGGCGCATGACTACGCTTTTTTTGAGTAATTATCTATTTTTACTTGCCTGAAGGCTTTAGGGCACATGACATGGACAAAACGTTCCTCGAGTTATCCACACCCTGAAACACTATTCTGACAGTTTCTGACATCTGGTGGCATATTTATTCTGGCATTCTATTTGACATTATTTCTGGCATATATACTTTGACATGTTATACTGACTGACATGCTTTTGGGCATATATTCCGACATTCTTTCTGGCATTCTAGCTGGCATCCAGTCTGCCATTCTATCTAGCATTCTATCCGAGATTCTGGCAGAAGTCCGGCAATGCCTACTGAGATCTGGAGCTCGCAGTTGAGGTCCGGCAGTGGCTACTGATTTCTAGAGCTCGCAGTTGAGGACGAGGAGGAGAAGAAGGAGAATAAGAAGTAGGAGGAGGAGAACGCAATTCTGATAAACTCAGACCTTCACCTGGCAGGCGGGGATAAAAAGCAATAATTTTGTCAAAGTGCTATGTCATGTGTGGCTGGTACGACATTGGTGCATATCTGCTGGGTTCGATCCATATACGGAGGCCATGTCACTGGCACTCAGTATAACCACTTTTACTAAGTTGGATGATCCTCCAAGTAGACCCTCCGAGCACCCATAGAACTGGTTAGAAGTACATCCGAAATAATGGGTGTATTATCCCATTTCACTTTGGAGGATGTAGGTAGGCCAAAGAAACAAAATGTGTTTTTTGTTGATGCTATTTATCTCTGAAAAAGGACAAACTTTTTGCGGGCAACCGGGGTTAACTTTTCTTGCCTTTTCATATTGACCTTGATGACTTGAAGACTCCCAATCTCACCCAATCGCTGACCATCCCAAGCTCCTTTTGTTTTCAGCGACCCAGTCGCCAGTGGCTGAGAATCTGAGGTCCCAGTCTGGGCCATCCGAAGATCCGAAAAGATAGCATTCCAGATGCTTCACCTTCGGTTGCTGCCCTGGGCACCGCGGGTGCTGCCCTGGACACCGCACCCATGGCGCCGCGGCAAATCTCAGGACGATAAGAGCTACCAACAGAATCAAACACATGTTGTTCTGATGTTTGAAATAGGAGATCGCAACAAGTCATCATCATCATCATCATCATCACCATCACTATCATCATCATCATCATCATCAAAATCACAAGTAACCCATGTTGTTTCAACGTCGGTGTCTCACCGCAGGAGGCTCCGAGGTTTCACGGAGATCGGCCTCGAAGCAGGCGCTCACTTACCCGCTTCGTCGCATGTCGACAGGTGGGTGGTCTAAGCATCAAACATGGGAGAAATGACCAAAACCGAAACATCTTGATTATGCTTTCCCAAATATGATAGGTATGTATGTATGTACAGAATGTAATGTAATGCAATGCAATGCAATGTATGTATGTATGTATGTATGTATGTATGTATGTGTATGCATTGTATGTATGTATGTATGTATGTATGATTGTAATGTAATGTAATGTAAGGTAATGTAATGTAATGGTATGGCATGGCATGGCATGGCATGGTATGGTATGGTATGTAATGTATGTATGTATGTATGTGTGTGTATGTATGTATGTATGTATGTAATGTATGTAATGTATGTATGTATGTAATGTATGTAATGTATGTAATGTATGTAATGTATGTAATGTATGTAATGTATGTAATGTATGTCATGTATGTAATGTATGTAATGTATGTCATGTATGTAATGTATGTAATGTATGTAATGTATGTAATGTATGTAATGTATGTAATGTATGTAATGTATGTAATGTTTGTAATGTATGTAATGTATGTAATGTATGTAATGTATGTAATGTATGTAATGTATGTAATGTATGTAATGTATGTAATGTATGTAATGTATTAATGTATGTAATGTATGTAATGTATGTAATGTATGTAATGTATGTAATGTATGTAATGTATGTAATGTATGTAATGTATGTAATGCATGTAATGCATGTAATGTATGTATGTAATGTAATGTAATGTAATTTAATGTAGTGTACTGTAATGTAATGTAATGTAATGCATGTAATGCATGTAATGTATGTATGTAGTGTAATGTAATGTAATGTAATGCAATGCAATGTAATGTAATGTAAGTATGTAATGTAATGTAATGTAATGTAATGTAATGTAATGTAATGTATTTAGTGTAATGTAATGTAATGGTATGGTATGGCATGGCATGGCATGGCATGGTATGGTATGGTATGTAATGTATGTATGTATGTTTGTATGTATGTATGTACGTATGTTGGTATGGTATTTATGTATGTGTGTATGTGTTGTATGTTATGTATGGTATGTATGTTTTTATGTATGTATGTATGTATGTATGAATGTATGAATGTATGAATGTATGAATGTATGAATGTATGTATGTATGTATGTAATGTATGTAATGTATGTATGTAATGTATGTAATGTATGTAATGTATGTAATGTATGTAATGTATGTAATGTATGTAATGTATGTAATGTATGTAATGTATGTAATGTATGTAATGTATGAATGTATGTAATGTATGTAATGTATGTAATGTATGTAATGTATGTAATGTATGTAATGTATGTGGGAGTCGTCCTAAAACCCATGCAAGCTTTTTAGTATCCGAGTGACATCTGCAGATATGGATGTGTATGTTTTGCTGCAGTGGCGAAAGGCCGCGAAAGCGCGGCGTAAGGTTCGCGAAAGGTCCGAATACCACTATTTATAAACCTATAAATAAACGAAAACCCGATCATGATCCGATGTCCCGATTCTGCTGGGGCGCGAAAGGTTCGCGAAAGCGCGGCGTAAGGGCAGTTTTCGGGTACCATAATTTTGGACAACCCCCATGTAATGTATGTATGTAATGTATGTAATGTATGTAATGTATGTAATGTATGTAATGTATATAATGTATGTAATGTATGTAATGTATGTATGTATGTAATGTAATTCAATGTAATGTAATGTAATGTAATGTAAGTAAGTATGTATGTATGTATGTTTGTATGTATGTATGTATGGTATGTATGGTATGTATGGTATGTATGGTATGTATGGTATGTATGGTATGTATGTTATGTATGGTATGTATGGTATGTATGGTATGTATGGTATGTACGGTATGTATGGTATTTACGGCATGTATGCATGTATGCATGTATGCATGTATGCATGTTTGCATGTATGCATGTATGCATGTATGCATGTTATGCATGTATGGAATGTAATGTAATGTACTGTATTGTTTTTTTGTAATGTAATGTAATGTATTGTATTGTATTATTGTTGTGTATTGTAATGTATGTAATGTAATGTAATGTAATGTAATGTAATGCATGTTTGTATGTATGTTATGTATGTAGTGTATGTAATGTATGTAATGTATGTAATGTATGTAATGCATGTAATGTATGTAATGTATGTAATGTATGTAATGTATGTAATGTATGTAATGTATGTATGTAATGTAATGTAATGTAGCGTAATGTAATGTAATGTAATGCAATGTAATGTAATGTAATGTACTGTAATGTTTTGTATGTATGTAATGTAATGTAATGTAATGTAATGTAATGTAATGTAATGTAATGTATGTATGGTATGTATGCATGTATGTATGTTATGCTTTGCTATGCTATGGTATGCTATGTTTTGCTTGGTATGTAATGTAATTTAAGATAATTTAGTGTATTGTATTGTAATGTAATGTATGTATGGCATGTAATGTATGTAATGTATGTAATGTATGTACTGTAATGTATGTAATGTATGTAATGTATGTATGTATGGAATGTAATGTAATGTAAGGTAATGCAATGTAAAATGATGTAATGTAATGTAATGAAATGTATGTGTATGTATGTGTATGTATGTTTATGTATGTGTATGTATGTGTATGTATGTGTATGTATGTATGCATGCATGCATGAATGGATGTATGTGTGTATGTTTTGCTCTGCTATGTTATGCTATGATATGCTTTGTTATGCTACGCTATGTTATGTATGTATAGCATGTAATGTATTTAATTTAATGTAATTTAATGTATTTTATTGTAATGTAATGTAGTGTATATAATGTAATGTATGTAATGTATGTAATGTATGTTTGTATGTAATGTCATGTATGTATGTGTATGTTTGTGCATGTATGTGTATGTATGTGTATGTATGTGTATGTATGTATATGTATGTGTGTGTATTCATATGTATGTGTATGTATGTGTATGTATGCATGGATGGATGTATGTATGTATGTTTGTATGGATGTATTTATTTTTACATATTAACTTGTTATTTGTTGGTGTGTAAACATTTTTGTATTTATTTATGTTTTTTTGTTTTTTGATAACATACTGCGTTTAATTTGTAAACATTTCCCCTATTATATCATTTTTTTAACCACCCATTGATTGATAGTTGTATGTTCAATTTTAAGAGTATGACTGACCCTTCATGGGAATGTCCAGCAACTAACCAATACAAGAAGGATGATAAGGGGTTCGAACACTCCTGAAACGGGCAATAAGTGAGTTTTGTTAACTGGGGATACAAGAGAAATAAATGACAGAGTGAACTACCAACACTTCTGAACGACTTAGCAGGGATGCACATTTCAGCATAATCACAGAATGGGGGTGTCGCAATCACAGAGGGGTCCAGAAATATGCATGGACTTGCAAAACCTTGAAATTTACTCTAATGTTTGGAGTGTCACACGGTGTTGCGGCCTGATTTTTTTGGATCCCCGCGGTACAGACATGCCCAATTTCGGGAACTCATCTCCCAAGATCACAAAGGTGGTGCCCCCAGTTCTGTTTGTTGGTTTATAACCCCATTGTCTGCAGATGTGTCTACCATAAACCCTAGTTGATGTACGTGTACAGCATTGTGCTCTGCTTGGATTGGCCATGTTTCATAGCAATCTTTGACCTCCACCAAGTTTGGCATGCGCCTCGGTTCGCAGGCCCGCGATGGCGCACATGAAGCAACCACTGGCGACAAGGACTGGGACGGTTGTTGGTGCTAACATGGGCGTGGCTCTGAACCGCGAAAATCCAGCAAATTGGTACTCGCAGGATCGGTTATAGTAGAGAATGATCAAATTGAAGGGTACATGGGCCATGGGCACCCTATCTTCGAACAACACAGGTTTGATTATTCTGCAAAAACGTGACGCAAAAAATTGCAAAACAACAAGAGAAAAAATCGGTCTACCAAGAATGCGTCCATGACCTATAAACTTGCTTATATACAGTTTTTTAGGCCTGCAGACCCTTCAGCGTATTAATAGTTTGCCCTCCGGCAATCAAACATAGCAACGGAAAATCCACCATTTAGTTCGATGATTTTCCCATTGACGCCTCCATTTCTATTGGAGTTTCCATTGCCACATTTGATGACAGCAGAGGGTATAGCTAGCGTCAAGGCCTAGAATCGAAACTCTGGTCCCATAAAATGCCATCCATGTGAAAATGATTATAATAGTTGATGCTAATTTAAGAGAAAACTGTAGAACACATTGATTTGTTGATGCATTTTTCGGGCATATGTTCAAACCAATGAAGAATTGGAGTAAATGAACATGATATAGATGGAGATCGGTCAATAGCTATGAAACCATCGGTTTTTTTCGGAACAACGAACAGCTAAGCTTCACCGGAATGTCACAGCTGATGTGTTGCCGGTAAGCCCAGCGGATTTCTCAGGTACGGCCAGGACCTGGACCTGCAGTTGCCAAGGCCGGGTTTTTTTGGCGAGATCGAGGGTGACTTCCGGTCGGTGCCACAGGTCGAAAGGGCCAATTGCGTTGGTTTACAAGTGGGTTGACTAGGAGTTGCGCTAGATAAATCTGTACTTAATGGTTTTCTCAGCAACATTGTAGCTGTTGCGGTACCATATTTTATGGGTTTGTCTGAACACCGGGTATACCCCCAGATGGCAACGTCAACAAGGAAGATGGTGATAAATATTTTTGGGGGTAGTACACGGTATACGTTATTTATTGGTATTTTCAGACAAACCCATGTATTCTAGGTGACTTCCACCAGGGGCTATATGTAATTATAATTATAATATATATGATACACATATTAGGCTATTTGCCGGGATCGTTTTTCTTGGCATGCCTTAAGTCTCAAGGACAGCAACACATTCATACCCATATCAAAAAGATGCACACAGAGTTTGGTTGCCTGACGGCGTGATTAAACTGTTAAACTTTATCAACATTTCATGGGCAGCTGAGTTTTTGAACAAGTTGGGCTTTGCCCAGAAATTGATAAGGTGATGATAGATC